AAAGATTGGAAGTACTACTAGAAAGTACCGTAACATCCAAAGACAAGGAAGAGAGGTAAGAACGACAGACAGTTGGCAGGAAAGAAGGAGAAAACCACACCAGAGCACCTGTCAACCATACACAATCACTCGCTCCAAAATTTAAAGTCTTTATCAATCAAAGTCTACAATCAGAACAAATTTATTGCAACTCATCCACAGTTACTAGCATTTTATCAAATAAAGTCTGTAGTCAAACAAGTGAACAGCACACGGGAAAAACGACGGAAGTCACAAACTGGAAATTGTGAGGGTGTCAAATTTTAAAAGCTTGTGGACTCGTAACTTCATATTTGTTTGACTGGTGGTTTATTGTTAAGTGTTGTTGAATGGGAAATCTAACAACAATAATCAGCCGACAGTTGAACAGAAATACAGTTATGAGTCATCAAGCATTCAAAATTGGTACCCTCACGACTTTCAGTTTGTGACTATCATCGTTTTCCCCCTGTAGTCAAACAATTGGGTTTTTTTCAATTTACCGACACTTTGAATCACTTGCCTTTATCGGTCCGATCTTTGATCAGTGGAAGAGCAACAATAGCTAGAGGGGGTAGGTGGCGGTTTTCTGCGTTGAAAAATATCTGGGCCATTTGTAACTGCACAAATCCTTTGATCTCCCTGGAAAGTTTCTTTAAACGAGGGACGTAAGATGCCAATAAGGCCTCATCCCCGTCTCTCTCCTGCCAGTCGTTCTCTCTCTTCCTCCGTTTGGACAGAGGGTATTTGTCCGACAGAGAGCCAACGTGGCAATGTGGACTGCTTCCCACGCCAGGTTCTGGATGCGACGACCCATTTTTCCGCTGGTCTTGCCCCAAAAGCCTTTTCATGGGGCAGCCGGGTAACCTGGGAAGTGGAATCATCAGGAAAACGACGTTTGAAAAGTTTCTTTGGAGAATCGTTGCCAGGTTCAGTGCGTAACAATTGTGGATATTTTGTGCCATGTATACACTTGTCTTGACTGGATCGCTAACAACATACACTTGTCTTGTCTGGATCGCTAACAACATACACTCGTCTTGTCTGGATTGCTAACAACATACACTTGTCTTGTCTGGATCGCTAACAACATACACTGGTCTTGTCTTGTTAAATGCGTTTAAAATGTAATGTTTCCTTGTAAGGCGCATTGAACATTTTTCAACATGGAAATGCACAGCATAAATACTATTTATTTTTAAAATCAATATTACATTTCCCCCTCCCCCTCCCCATGGCTTTCTGTCCCACACACACCAACCCTACCACCTCTCTTCCCCCAGGGCTTTTTGACCCCCCCCTAAAGAATTGGTTAAAAAGGAGTGCACAATATTGGTATGTCTGTACCACAGAAAAAGGCATATCTTTCCATCAGAACCCAACTCCCACAGAATGTGTGTGAACTGGGAACTGGGTCTACAATAAATGGTCACTCTTAAGCACAAGGGGGCTATCCTGAAAAATGCTGTTCTGAGAAAATGGAAGTTAAATATTTTTTGCCTCTTGTTCGGTTTCTTGAAAAGACAAGAAGAATTTCTCTGTAACCAAACAAATCTACACACCATTGAAGCCAAACTTCTCCTATAGGTCGGGCAAAGCCCACTTTTGATGTACCGGGTAGGTCAAGATTTCTGTACCGGGTAGGTCAAGATTTCTGGAAACCCCCGAAATGTAGGTTAGCCCGCTTGTCCTTAAAAGCGACCAAATAGTTTCTGAATCTCATCCCCTGACAGCACCACTTCCATAGCTCCACTCTACCTACTTCACTTTTACTTTACTTTACTTTACTTTTCCGATCCAGCAGCCACCTGGGTTCTAGCCCTTCGGCCTGTCCATATGGCAAAGAATTTACAGGTTTTTATCAGCTGTGTTTTGTTGCTGTATAGAGTATTTCCCTGGTCTGGGGAGGCAGGTAGGTAGGTGCTACGCAGGTCGCTAGGTGCAGGGCAGGTAAAGAGATGGTGTGATAGGTGTGATAGGTAGGTGCTACGCAGGTCGCTAAGTGCAGGGCAGGTAAAGAGATGGTGTGATATTGTTTCAAGCCCAATTGTACCAAACACACATAACAAATTCTCTCTGCGACCTTCACCTTGTGGACACATTCTCCTCCGTGGGATCAACTTCCTGGCATCTGTTGGGGGGAGAGGCGTTGTCCTCCGCGGGAGAAAGATGGACAGATTCCAGACAGGCGAAGGTGTTCCCTGGAGGCTGATAGGAAATACCTGCGAACAGCCACATGAGGAAAAAACCATGAAGGTAAATTCGACAATAACTACTGAGAGAAATGTTCCATAGTCAGGAATAGATGTAAGTAAGTTGATTCAGTGTTTAAGGCCACTGGCCCACATCTCATCACATAAAACACTCGTTTGATAAATAAAGTTTCCCAAATGAATAAGTACAGCTTGTGCACATATCTCTTATCATGAGTCAAACATTGCAAATTTCTGTCACTGGGCCGAGTCAGGCTGGGAGGGATTAACAATTTCCTTTGATGGTCAAAGTGTGAACAATAGAAAATAAAGTGAAATTCATTTTCAATTTCATGAGAGTTACACATCTCACATAAGGGTGAATTGATTAATTTCCACCGATAGAGATTGCTATGTAATGGAAGGCTATGAGTTTTTAACAAAGCTATGATTCTTCTGCTCCAATACCGCGGGAGGTTGATGATATATTCAGCTGTTTTTTGACACGGAATAGATAAATTAAGCTATGAGGCTGTGGAATGTTTCTTGACACGGAATAGATTAATTAAGCTACGAGACTGTGGGATGTTTCTTGAAACGGAATAGATTGATTAAGCTACGAGGCTGTGGAATGTTTCTTGACACAGAATAGATTGATTAAGCTACGAGGCTGTGGAATGTTTCTTGACACGGAATAGATTGATTAAGCTACGTGGCTGTGGAATATTTCTTGACACAGAATAGATTGATTAAGCTACGAGGCTGTGGAATGTTTCTTGACACGGAATAGATTGATTAAGCTATGAGGCTGTGGAATGTTTCTTGACACGGAATAGATTGATTAAGCTACGAGGCTGTGGAATGTTTCTTGACACGGAATAGATTGATTAAGCTACGAGGCTGTGGAATGTTTCTTGACACGGAATAGATTGATTAAGCTACGAGGCTGTGGAATGTTTTTTGACACGGAATAGATTGATTAAGCTACGAGGCTGTGGAATGTTTCTTGACACGGAATAGATTGATTAAGCTACGAGGCTGTGGAATGTTTCTTGACACGGAATAGATTGATTAAGCTACGAGGCTGTGGAATGTTTCTTGACACGGAATAGATTGATTAAGCTACGAGGCTGTGGAATGTTTCTTGACACGGAATAGATTGATTAAGTTACGAGGCTGTGGAAGCAACCAATAATATAAGACAGATAGGTCCAACACAGAAGACTCAAAACCACGCATCCTTCCACTTCCAACTGTGCCTGCAGTCCTGGGTTTTTTTTCCCCTTCTTTATCTTTGTACGATATCCCTCGAACTACGGATCCCTCGAACTACCGAGGCCGGTCCTGAGGAATTCAAGCTGTCCATGGTATACGGTATATCATTTCAAGAATTAAGATTAAAGCTGTTTACACATGTTCAGTGCTAATTACACATCAGAGCAATCTTAAGATTGCGCTGCGCATTTTAATGATCGTAGAATTGCACGGCAATCTGAAGAATGCGCTAATATTTTATATTTTTAAATAATTTTTTTTTAAATTCACTTCCTCCTTTATTCTTTTATTCACATCAAGGAACATTCACATATATTTTCAAAAGTGTAAAAATACGAAAATTTAAATCTAAATTAGCATATGAAACTGAAGAGCTCACAAGAATGATACAATTTCATGATTGTTAAAACGCGCAGCGCAATCTTAAGCTTGCACCGATTGGTAATTAGTGCGGAACAACATACATGGGAATTAAGATAAAAGATGTTTCCATACGTTCCTGCTTCATTCTCGGTAAGTCCTGGGGGCTCAGGGTGGTGTCCAGGTTGGTGTTGATCGTTCTCGTGGCATCATCGGGATTTACAACGACCAGGTCCTGGTGGGAGAACAGTTATTTTGGGATTGCCACAGGTTGCGATAAAGAGAAGGGACTGCTTATTTAGGCCACATATGGCCTAAATAAGGTAAGGGAGGGGGGTTTAGCTTATTTAGGCCACACATGCTCAAACTACTCTTTTCCGGCAACTGAGTTCGTTCCACTTTCATAATGGTGCACCTTTCTCATTTAGTACAGTTTTGTTTCAGTGTACAACTTATAAATCATAATCATAATGAATATTGTAATCAATATATATATATAACCATTTTATGTTATTTTCTGGATATTTTTAGAACTTTTTTTTAACATGTCATAAAATCAAATTGTGCCATTTTCTTTGATAAGATTAGCATTAGCAGTGGACTTTTTAGACAGCGAGTCTCTGATTCAATCAATTTTTTTTTTTAATATGCTAATCAATGAAAATTGCAAATTGATGATAGTATAGTCCTGTAGAGGATAGGTGGACTCCGGGGTCTGCATCTAAAGCGAAATACTAGGTTTTAGGATGTGAACCCCGGTGTCATCGTAGTGAAATAAGGGGCTGTTCAAATATAATCTTACACCTTTTTGGGGACTTTTTGACACCCCCCCCCCCCCCCCCCCTTTCTTACACTTTTCTTACATTTGCCCGTCCCATTTTTTTTCACTTTCATTATTTTGACGAGCGCCTGATTTCACCACGCTGCCTCACAATTAGAGTAAATCATTCAAGGAAAATATTGCATACACACTCTTTCTTACTAATAAAAAGGAAAAAATGGAGATTCATGTCTATGACAAAAGTGCTTTAATTTTTTTTTTTACAGTGGAATTCTGATAAAGTCAACACCCCGGACAGAAAAAAATTGTTGACTTTGAGCAAGATTGACGTTATCCATCGTACTAATGGCCATGGAAAATTGAAGATGACAGCTACAACATTACAAAGTGCCTGGTAATAAACAAGATGTAATCTCAATTTCAGGGAGTATAATTCTGAAGTTGTCACCAAAACAAGAGATAATGAAAGAACAAAGTACATAATATGTAATTGGAGGTGTGTACACCACTTGCTCAGGCGAAATATCTCTTCTTGAATGAATTCATTTTAGGATTTAGCCACAAATTGTTGACTTTACGAATGGTTAACACTCAAGCGGTTGACTGTACCAGAAACACAATAACTTAAACTTCAACAAAGAAGGTAGAACATGACAATTATCATTTTTTTCAAATTCACATTAGGTTGTTTATGTCTAGCCTTTCGTGGCCAGGAGCCGGTGTCATAACCGAGGTCATGATCTGATTATAGGACGGTAAAAAGTCAAGGAAAAAAAAAACCATAACTCGCAGCCGTCAAGTGATTATTAGGAGTTAGTTCCCCTCACATTTGTGAGGTAGACTCGACCAGTGTAATAGTCAGCTTACATAATCAGTGCTTGTGACTGCTTGTAACTGTGGCCCGAAAGGGGTGAACAGGGTATATGTAGCAATAAAACAGTTTTGACTGCTATGCACATGTTCCCTTCAACTGTATTGGTAGACTCTTCCAGCCTCACTTTAAGCTTACTTAATCAAAGCTTGCGACTGCTTATGGAGTGGTCCGAGAGGGGTGAATTCAACAATGAATGTTCTTTGGTTACAAAACAATTGAAAAATTAAACTCACAATTCATCCAATCAATCATTTACTCTTTTAAAGAGTGTTAGTGATAACTTCCATCATGCAGGGCAAGACACGGCGGGATGACAAACTGCTTCTGATCCCCCCCCCCCCCCCCAAGATCCTGATTTTTTAAATTTCATACAGTGGCAGGTCTGCCCCCATCCTTCTTTAACACTAGTAAATATTTTTTTTTAAACGACGAAAGTCTGGAAAGACTGGAATGGGGACTGTGGGATGGCTCACACAGGGTGTCCTCACAAATCCAAACCACGCTTCTCATTTTTCAGGGGGGGGGGGGAGGGGGAACGATGTGTCCCATCTATTTTCCAGGGGCATGCTCCATATATATATATATATATATATATATATATATATATATATATATATATATATATATATAGGATTTGTTGGGGAATATACAGAGTCCCCAACAAATCCTATAAATTTTTTTTCTAGACCCCAATTTGAGGGAAAAAGTAAGGCCGCTTTGCGCCAAGAATGATCCCCCAAAAAAGCCACGTACGTAATGCACAACCTCCATGTTATAGATGTTACATTATCAGACTATTACCGAAAAATTTCTGGTTGGTAACGAAAGAAGATCTTGATTTTCCCCATCGAGCCTCGGTACCAACCACAATATACACTTCCGCTTGCCGTCATAGCTACCTGTCCGAACAAAGCATACTCTCAAACCAGGGAAAAGCCGAATGAATGAATCGACCGGCGAAAATGAACTTAAAGACTTATCAAATTTGGCTTTCAAATATTCCAGAACTTTTATGTATTTTCCCGGGGAAATTTACAGTTGTCCTTAAAATCCTGGGGCCTGGCAGTCATCCTGCTCAATAATGAATCATTTCTTTTGGTTTGTCAACTTTATTTGATTTTTGATTGGCCCAACCACCACCATCCTTCCCCACCTCCAAGTGAAAACAACTCTTAATTCTAGACAAATATTATCGAAAACCGATAAAAGTAGGCTTGGGCGGCCACCCGTGCTAAATTAAAAATTTTCTACCAACCAAAAAAGTTTAATGTGTCCCGCACACCCATATTATGACCTTATGCAGTTGCGAGCACCGTAAAACACTTATTACAAAATAAAAATATTTTAAAAGTTCGATCTAGTTATAGAACCCCTTGAAGTGCACAAACCAGAGAGACCAGCTACGCTACTGGTTTAAACTGTTTTGAGAGCTCGAATTACACCAAGTTTTAGAAACTAAAAATCTGAAGTCTTCAGGTTTTGAACAGTAAATGTAAACACAAACAGCCAATGGTCGGCCGTCGTGACACTCTGAGGGTTAATAATAAAGCACTTTCTCTTTACTTCTGCAGCAGCCTCTTGGGTCCTATACAGTATAATACAGTTCCTATCAGCTTCCTCTCTAAAAGCCAATACGGACATTTTGAGTTTGACGTTGTCAACTTTTATTAAGACATAAGTGGTAGAAATGAAATGATTACCTCTTTCGACACAGCATGATCTTTGTGGTCTATGACCAGCTTGGTGACCTTGAGGACTGGATCCTGTCCCTTTGGTCGATTCAAACGAACATTCAACTGCACCGGACAGTCAACCTTGAAAGATCTGGGGGGAAAAAAGATTCTGGTTAAAAAAGTCACACACAGCTGCCACTACATGATCTCTAAAATGAAGCAAATCCTCAAAAGAAAATTGGACATCTAAGCTCCAGCCCACAATAGCTCAAAATGGAAGAAATCCTTTAGAAAAAAGGAAAAAAAGAAAAGGCATAAGCTCCCGCCCACCAGAGCTCTAAAACAATGCAAATCCTTTAATTTTGCGTGTTAAATTTGTTCATGAAGAATTCAATTGGGTCAATGCATGTCAAGCCTTAAGAAGCAAAACAAAAAGGAAGTGGCTATTCTCACCCGGGGTGTGAATAGAAATACAATCGACCTCTCACTCCGGGTGAGACTTGCCACCGTAGGCTATTCTCACCCGGTGTGAAACAAGACCTGTTTTTCCTAATTTCGGAATACTTTCTATCGATGTGGATGATCAAATGGATAAAGGCAAAGAAAAGATTACGTTATAGCACAAAAGTAAGCTAATTTGATCGACTA